AAGCAGATCTCTGTGAGTTCAAGGCCAACCTGGTCTACAGAGTGAGCTCCAGGACAGGCTCCAAAGCAATACAGAGAAACCCTGCCTGGAAAAAACAAAATAATAATAATAATAATAATAATAAAATAAAATCCAAAAAAAAAAGAGGATATACTGGGTGATGATATTTCTATTTCTTGGTGGTTAAAGGTAAAACCAACCAGGTATGGTGGCTCATGATAGTAATTCCAGTACACCGGCAGAGGTAGGAGGATCATCTACAGAACCCGTCATCTATAGAATGAGTTTGCCTATCAAAAAATCCTATCTCAAACCTCCCACTAAATAAGTTATTTGTACAAAAGAAAGCCTGTAAGGATATTTTAAATACAAAACCCGGATATTCATGGTGATGGTAATACGTCTCCATGGGTACAGCAAGATGCTGGCAAAGTGTTACCACTTCTCTGATAAGTACCCCTCTCCTGGTCCAGGTTTGCAAGAAGAATGCAGTTTGACAATAGCATTTCATTTATTTATGTTCTGAGTTTCTGTTTTGTTTTGTTTTAAAATATGGCCAAGCCAGTCAGCCCACGCTGGCCTGGAACTCACTACGTAGCCTAGGCTGCCCTTGAACTCTTAGCAGTCCTCCTGTCTCTGCCTCTAGTGTGCTGGGATTACAGCTGGGTGTCAAAACGTGCAGCTTTTAAAGCCACCGCAGTAGTTAATCTTCATTGTATAAGAACAGAGCAGAACATAAAGCATGAGTTACTTACAATTCAGCCTAGCTTTATGGTGATTTAGAACTTGTTTAATTAGTATTTAGAACTGAACATTGTTTATAGCTATTGGTATTTCAATAGATGCTTAAATGTTTTGAACATTTAAAGTTTAATAAGCCTCAGTTCTTTGAAGGGAAACACAGAGGTAATTAGATTTTCAATTACTTGAGTTTTTTTTTTTTTTGATCCATGCAATTAATAAAAGCTAAGGCATTTAACACTCATTTTAAGAGTTAGTCAACTGCTTCATCAATTAGCTAAACATATACTAAATAATTTTTAATGCAAAAGGCTCACTCTAGGCAAAGCTGAAACCTCTTAAAAAGTACATGACAAAGAAGTGGATGGCCCTTGGTGAGGGCCTCTTCCAAGCTGCAGATTGGGTGAGAAAAGGGAAGGCTGGTTTGCTGTCCCAGTCATTGGGAGTGTACACAGGAAAGTGTGGCCCAGGCTTTCCAAAGACCATCCCTGGGCACTAACCCAGTCATTACTTGTTTCTAATTGTGTGGGTACACTTAAAACACTGACCCTATTGCTCCTCACAACCTACCTGGGCTCAGAGCACTTTAGGGGTTAAAAACACAACTGGCAAAGGTATACAAATTGGATACAATCTTATTTTGTTTTTTTCTTTCTTTTTTGAGACAAGGTGCCATTCAGGTGTCTCAGGCTGGCATCAACTTCACCTTGTAGCTAAAGATGACCCTGAACCTACCTAAGATTACAAACCTTTGATACTGGACATGAAACTTAGGGCTTCTCTACCAACTGAGCTAGATTCCTAGCCCCTGGTTATAGTCTAATTTTAATTAAACAATAAATTTAAAATACTGTAAGATAAATCTGCCACCCAAAGACACCAACAGCCTCAGTATTTCATATAATCTTGTGATACAAACTTGAATTTATCAGTGTTCTCCAAAGAGACAAAACCTGCAAGATATACCATACATGCCTGAATGCATACAACACACACACACACACACACACACACACACACACACACACACACACTTTGGGGTAAAGGGTAAGGCATCTTGGTGTCCTAAGGTGATCTGGTTCTACAACTCACTTCAGATGCAGAACCTGAGCATCTCCAATGTCTTATGTAAAATGTAACTGTATTTGCATATAACCCATACACATCCCCCATAGACCTAAAGTCATCTCTAGATTACATCCATTATAAATTCCTAAAAGAGGGGAGAGCCAGAAAAGGAGTGAGTAGAGGAGGGAAAGCATATTAAGACATGCTACATTATTTTTCAGAACTGAGGGCATGAATTCTTTTGATGTAAACAACATGGCAAATCTGAGAACATCCTGGGCCACACAAGACACTGCTCTTAAAGGAAACATTCTGGAAATCCAAATACTGTTTCTGAATTCAGTGATGGAAATTCCTGGGACAGCCAATTCTCTTTATAATGAATTCACCTGTCACTATGTCCACCTTTACCCCTCCTTAGGACACCAAACAATCCTGGTACACCTAATCCTGAGCACATCTAAACATTGCTTTGGCGCCATCTAGGGCCTAAAACAAAACAAGGAAATAAACAAACAAACAAACAAAAAAGACTTGGATCTTTGTCTTTAAGCTTCAGAAAATTCATTTTTGAGAGTATGTTACCTACAGACAACAGGAAATAAATTAATGACCGTTAGATACTAGCTTTTAGTGCAAGCTCTATGGAGTCTGGACGTATGTCTGACCAGAAAGGGTGTATCTGCCGCTACTGAGGAAGACGAAGCAGGGAGCTCTGGCAAGAGCGCTGTGACAGCCGCCTCTGCCTCACTCTAGAGTTCCACGGCTTCCATCAAAGTTCCGCCTTTCCAAGTGTAACGGAAAGCCACTGAAAGCATCCCAGCCAAAGGGAAACATTCCATGAAGACTAGAGAGACGTAAACCCAACAGAGAATAGATTGAACCCTACCGAAACAGGGAAGGTGAGGGCTCACTGGGTTTCAGGATGCGGGTGGTAACATGGACTATTAAAGATAAAAGGTAAGCTACAGAATGAAGATCTGTTGATGTTGCCTTCTATGGGTGAAACTGTGGGTGACTGGGAACTCTGATTCGAAAAAACTGGGTTTATATTGTTGAATGATCTCAGAGTCAGAAGATGGAAAAGGTATAGGTGTTGATAAGGAAGGATGAAAATTTAGGTAATGAACAAGTGAAGACAGCGATACCTAAGACATCCCACTGACTGCGTCAAGCCGTCGACAATCGCAGCCTCCACACAGCAGCTTTCTAAGACATGGGCCCACTGAGCAGAGTGGTTTAGAAGTCGTTTGGGCTCATGAGACCAATTTAGGGCTCTGCTTTAAAAAAGAATTGGTGTGTTTATGATGCCAGTTTCACAAGACCTGTCCCAGTTTGTTTCAGCAAGTCGGCTTTATTAAGAAGCAGTGCCTCCAATTATGAGACAGGTAGTGCAGGCACAGTAGAACGGGCTCAAACACAACGCCTGAGTGAGCAAGTAGCCAAGGGCAGCCGACTCTCTAGGACTTGCCTAACAGAAGGTGTGAGCTTTTTGTGTGTGGTATTCTTGGCACTTCAAAAAGTAGAAGAGCTGGAGAGGTGGTCAGTGTTTGTTAAGAACACTGGCTGCCCGAGGGGTCAAGACAACACAAGGAAACCCACAGAACCAACTAACCTGGGTTTGCAGGGGCTCACAGAGAGGGAACGGGCAACCAGGGAGCCTGCATGGAACTGAAGTAGGCCCTCTGCACATATGTGACAGTTGTGTAGCTTGGTCTTCTACTGGGACTCCTAACAGTGGGAACAGGGGCTGTCTCTGACTCTTTTGCTGGCTCCTGGGACCCTACTCCTCATACTGTTGCCTTCCCCGGCCTTAATTCGAGGGGAGGTGCCTAGTCTTACTGCAACGTGATATACCGTATTTGGTTAATATCCATGTCCATGGGAGGCCTGCCCTTTCCACAATAGAAATGGAGGAGGAGTGGATGGGGGAGGGAGCAGAGGGGAGGTGGGAGGGAAAGACAGGGAGAAGAAGAGGAGGAGGAGGAGAGCATCACTGGCCCTGCTGTTTCGGAGGATCTGGGTTCAGTTTCCATCACTTACACGGCAGGCAGCTAACAAGAGTCTGTACCGGCAGTGCCTGGGGCTCAAGGCCCTCTTCTGCCCTCTGCAGGCAGAAACACTGGTGGCCCACAGACAAACGCAGTCAAAATACTCACACAGAAAATAAATACCGTTTAAGGTAGAAGACATTAGAGCAATGATTCATAACTTAGCTGCACAATGCATGGGTCACTTGCATGGGATATATATATATATACATACATACATACATACATACATACATACATATATATATATCCATCCCCTGAATAGGCGCCAGATGTCCGTGTTTTCCTAGCTTGAATTTTACTCATCTTTCCCCAGCACCCGAAGCACTGCCCCTACCCCACCCCCATATCCACAGTATTGTTCTCATGCCCGGTGTCTGCAATAGGGTAAGCTTTCAATTCATGTTCATTGTTGTGGAAATACTGCTTGCAGCAGCAGATGACCCAGACCACAGGATGTCATGGGATGTATTGTAAATCCACGAACCCCTCGTGTGAAAGGGTCACAGGAGACCCTGAAGGGGGTTGGGAGGAGTGATTTAATGCCTATGAGCTCTAGCCTTGATAATGACAAACCTAGAATTCTACCTTCAGGTTAGTAGGAGGGGGTTATTTGTTTGCTTTGGAGGGGGGGGGTTGCTTTCAATGATCTCATTTTTGTTTGTTTGTTGTTTGTTTTGTGTTTGAGACGGGGTCTCACTATGTCTCCTCCCTGGCTGGACTGGAACTTGCTACGTAGACCAGCCTGTTACTGCCTCCAGGACGTTGACGTTAAAGGCGCGCCTTAGCACGTCCAGTCCAGCAGTCTCATTTTGAGCACTTCCAAACTTATATCCAAAAGCAGCATAACCTGACCCTCAAAATCCAGTTTCCTTAACCACAATCCGAACGTGCAGCTCTGTTTCAAAAGGCTCAATGTCATCCCCAAGCCCTCCGCGGTTCGAACCCAGATTTATCCTGCGAGGATCACCACTTCAAAACCAGCCTCCTTCAACCAGGGGAACCTAGGGCCACTGCGCTTGCGCCACTTGAGCATCCGCCTCTGTCGCCATAGCAACCGGGGACTCGCGAATCTGCCTGTTGCAACCAGGGTTCCTGGCTCGAAGCTGGGTCTCGCTTGTTTGGGATGGCTTTCCTTACCGCTTCCCGCGCCTGGTGCGTGAGTTTGAGAGTCTGGTAAGAAAGCTCCATTAGACACTGAGCCAGGGCCCGCGAGGAGAGAAGAGGAGCCCGCCACCCGCGGACCGGTGTCTAAGGACAGCTGCGGGACATCCGACGCTCAACCAGCCCGCCCCCTTCGGGATTGGCCAGCCAATCACCGGCCTCAGACGGATTCTTCAACGAGTCAATCAAGGTTTAGCTAAACGTTTGATCCTGAGCGGTTGCGCGATCCCAGTCAATCAAGAGGTTGAGAGGGTGTGATTGGCAGAGCCGTTGGGGGCGGGCTTCGCGGTTGTCAGGGTCCTCCTGATTCGTGCTTGCCCTTGGCCTGGGCAGTTGTGGGGGCGGTTGTGGCCCAATGGCCGGCCTTTGACACCCGGCCTACGCATCAAAGGGCAAAGATTAGGGAGTTCCCCCAGCTTTTCTTAGAAATCGGGCTGGACCGCTACCAACACGCTGTCAGGGCATTGCAGGGGCACAGCCGCACACCTGGCTTTCCCTTCTGCCTTTGCAACAGCCCGGTGTCCGTCAGGAGTGGACACGCGTGGGCTCTAGGATTTCTGCCCTCCATTTTCTTAATATATTGACTCGTTCATGACTTCGTTGTCTTCCCTTTGTTTTCTTCCCCCCTTCCCTTCCTCGCTTTTTTTTTTTTTTAAGAAGCTAAAGTAGAACATTTTATTTTAAGATTATTTTATTCATGGGGTGTGGGGATGTCCATGCATGCCAGAAGAGGGCACCTGGTCTCACTGTCAAGAAGTGCTCTTCACAACTGTCATCTTTCCAGCTCCCCCCCCCCCCCCCCCCCCCGCTTCTTGCTTTCAACAGGGTCTCATCGTGCAGCGTTGGCTGGCCGGCCACTTGCTATTGTCACTAGGCTGACCTCTATTGCTGCGATCCTCCTGCGGTGCCATCCATGGGATTTACAGACCTGAGCCACTATGCTGTATCTTTTCCCTTCTTTCTTGTTCAAACCTTTCCTCAAATGTCCTCAATCTTTAAAAAAAAAAAAAAAAAAAAAAAAAAAAAAAAAGTTTTGCCTTCTTAACTGTTGAATTGAGTTGCCTCTTAGTCACTATGAAAATTCTGGAAGAACTAATTAGTCTTTTTCTTCATTTCTCCACCTCCCATTCATTTCTCAACCCACTCTACTCCAGTGCTGTTGAATTTTTTCCTATTTTCAAAATTCAATAACAAATTATTTTACTCTGTCTTTTTAGGGGAGGTGGAGCGGGAAACGGGGTTTCATGTGTGGCAGTCCTTCTGTGTCGCCCTCCCGAGTGCTGGTACTACGGGCATGAGCAACTATACGAAGGTTCTTATTCAAATGTGTCATTGTTCAAAACTATGTTAGTACTAATATCTTTATTAAACACCTATAGCACCCAAATACTATGTGGTTTAGAGGCCTGCCTCAATCTGTTGTGCTATGCTTTGTTGCCCTATGAAGCAACTGTATTTTTTAATATGAGAATGTATGTGTGTCTGTCTGAGTGAGTGTGGGTACCTGCAGAGGCCAGAGATGTCAGATCCCCTGAAGTCAGAGTTATAGGTGATTGTGAGCTGGTGCTATGGGTGCTGGAACTAAACTCGGGTCCCTAGCAAGAGCAGGATGTGCTCTTAACCACTAAACCATCTCTTTAGCCCTGCATTTTTAAAAATTGAAGGTACAGGACAGCCCTACAGGAAGGAAATATTGGTCCCATTCTCTCAGAGTCTGTTTAATTGCTGCACTTACGCACATCTCATAATTACCATGGTGCTTATAATTTTATTATTACATCTGCTGTGATGACCTGTGACTAATGGTCTCTGATGTTGCTATTACAACTCTTGGGGGGAGGGGTATCTCAGACTGTACCCCTATAAGATAATGAACTAAAGTAGTATATGGTATATGCATTCATATTGTCCTCTACTAATTGGTCTATGGCTTCCTAGACACACAACAATATTGAAATCAAACCAATTAACAATCTACAATGGCCTCTAAGTGTCCAACTGAAAAAAAGAGACCTCTGTCTCAGTTTAAATCAGACCTATGTCTCTCAGATTAAGTGAAGAAGATGTGTCAAAAGCCAACATGGGCTGGGTGTGTAGCTCAGTAATAAAACACTCGCCCAGCTTCTATGAAAGCCCTGAATCCAATTCCCAGTGTTACTAAACGAATGAATTGGCCAAGGAGGACAAGATAGGCGGGAAGCTAGAGCTCTTACACCAGTTAGCTAAGTCGTAAATGCAAAGGGAAAGTTCTGTAGGAAACAGAGTGCTACTTGAGTGAGCACACATGACAGGGAAGGAAGACAGCTCTCCTGCTGAGGACACAGAACAGAACAGCAAGCCAACATCTCATCCTGAGCAAGGCACTCCCTTCCTGTGTGTGAAAACCATGACAGCTAAGCAAGCAGCAGAGGAGAACTTTCACATTCAAAGGCTGGTTCATGAGGATTAAGGAATCAGCTGGCTTTGTAGTATAAAATACAAAGAGAGCTCAAGGATTGAGAGCACTCGTTCTTGCAGAGGACCCAGCTGGATTCAGTTCCCAGCACACACAGTGGCTCACAACTGCTTGTAACTCCATTTCTAGAGGTTATAGGCCCTCTTGTGGTCTCCACAGGCACTGCATGCATTTTTTTTTTGTTTTGTTTTGTTTCGTTTTATGCAAAGGGAAGCACAAACTCAGAGCTAAATAAAGCAGGAGTGGTAGTGAATGCTCATATTCCTGGCACTCAGGAGGCTGAGACAAGTTATAGATCACTTCTGCTTACATAGAGGCAGGCTATGTAGACCCTGTGTTAAGCAGCAAAGCGATGGACAGTGTAGACAAAACAGATTTTTGCCGGGAAAGGATACTATCTAGGATGTTAGCATGTAGAAAGAAGTCCATGTCTAGACTAACGCTTCAAAGAACAGGCTGCCTTTCCCCTTGGGATCCAATGGGACTGGTGACTGATGAAGAAAGCAATGTTCACTTCCCATTCAAAGCCTCTTCATCATGTTCTTAAATCTCCGTGTTCTATAAACGGAATTAACAAAGCTTGGATATCTGTACTTCTGGTTACAACATGGTCTACTCCATATTTCAAACACTTTCCAGAACAACTGATCAGAAGAAAACCAACTCAAAATAATATTGCTCACCGGCAATAGCTGTGGTTACCCAAGCGCTCCAATGGAGACCTACAAGACTGATGCTATTTTCATGTCTTTGAGAAATACACCTCCTCTTCAGCCCATGGGTTAAACAGCAATTTAACTTTCAAGTTGTATTCAGGAAGTGCAGGAAACTCTCGTGGCAGAGACAGCGACTCCAAAGTACCTGTTCCGAAGGATCTGGGCCAAGTAAAATGAAACACCCTGGGATTCGCCATCCCGGAAACCATCAATGGCTCCCATGATCTGGGCTGTGGTGGTCCGCGCTTGCAGTCCTATCACTGAGGAGGCTGAAGCACAAGGATTTCCTTGACTTAGAATCCAGCCCAGACTATGGTGCAAGATGAGGCAGGCAGGGGTGGGGGAGGGGGGTGAGAAGCAAAAGAAGAGTCCGGACCCAGGTCGTGGCTGCACATGGCTGCAGTACAGGGACCCAGGTCGTCCTTGCACGTGGCTGCAGTACTAATCCCGGCAGTGCTGAGTACTTGAGGAAGAACACTGAGATTGAGGCCAGCCTCTGTGGCCTTTCCAGACTACACACGCAGTAAAGAAAACCGAACAGGAAGGAAAGCGACTGAGGATGAGGCAGGCCCTGGCCTCTCGTGAGGATGACCTTTCTGTGGTGCCCAGAGCGCCGAGGGCCCTCATGGAGGGGACAGCACCCCAGGCTCAGCTCACTCTATACAGAAGTGTACTTATACAGGGACCATGCTAGAAAGAAGCAGAAGGGTGAGCCGCTTCCTTTCCTGGCGGAAGTTTTGTTTGAATTCTGTAGAGATAGAGACAAACTGATTTACACAGTGAGCTTGGCAACATCAGGGCTACAGAGAGACCCCATCTCAAAAGAAAAAATAGAGAAAAAAAAAAGAAAGGCTTGTTCTTTTCATTATAGAAATGTCATTTTAAGAAAGGATTTCATTTTTATTTTATGCATGTGAACCAAATGCATATATGTAGTCACATGGGTGGCTTACAACTGTCTGTAACTTCAGTTCCTGGGGGATCTGACCCCTCTTCTGGTCTCATCAGGTAAAATAGGCTCATGATGAACACACAGTCAGCCAAAACACTTAACATATATAAAATAAAATACATCTCTAGAAAAATTCATTACAATCTACCCATTTCTAAATCCTTTGCTCTGACTCCCTTCCTACAGGGCCACTTGGGAGTTTGTGCTGACCGTGTTTGATTAGGTCAAACTGCCTTCAGCAGAGCCTCCCAAAATCAAGGAGAGGGCTGGATAGGAAATAGACCCATCTATCCGGAAACCTTGTGACAGTCAACTGCAAGCCATCTCTGAGCAAAATGTGAAAAATGTGTCTTTTTTATGCTAAACCACTTTCAAACCCGCCAACTGTTTGTCACTGGGAGGAAAGAACATCTGAATCCTTTGGACGTCCTGCATCGATGTTTCTCTGCTAGTAGGAGTTGATACACAAGAGTGCATGCAGTGTCTGTCTGAATCAGACCCATGATGTGACATTCACTTGCTGTATTGTATTCTCTTTCTGTTTACTATTTTATTTATTCAGAACAGCTCTGGCTGTCCTTAAACTCACTCTGTAGATCTGGCTAGCCTCAAACTCATAGAGTCTGTCTGCCTCTGCCTCCCAGCTTTTCATTTAAACGCTAATGAAAGTGTCTTCAAGCTTAAAAAGAGAGAAAGAAGGAAGAAAGGGAGGGAGGGAGAAAAAGCGAGTTTATGTCACTGGAAGGAAAGATTGTGTGGTTATTTGGATCATTATGCCAGAAAGTATTGAACAACACAATTCAAAAAGGGTTGTGACCAGAGCAGCTTCAACAGCTGTTCCTGTCACTCAGAAGTGTCCTGCCATTAGCATGACTCACTTTAAAGTCTCTTGAGCCATGTAAGACTCAGCCCAAACTTAGAAGACATGGAATGTTT